CTTCCACTTCATAATCAGTTTTGCACCCCTCCCCAATGAAACCACTGAACTTGGGGCCACATATTTCAAAATTTTGCAAATTTTATCATAAAATGGTTGATTAATACCAAAGAGCAGATTTCAAAGCATTAGTTTATTTTCAGACTATGTACCCCCCCCCCTCCTGACCCAGGGGGGCATAAAAAAATAACCATTTTGCTAGATGCACCTTTCTTCATCATAAATATATATGAATGTACTTGGATCATTGGCATAAAAACCAGGATCAAAGGAAAAGATTTTCAAAGAATTAATGTATTTTCACTACATAATAAATAAAGCCCCGTCCTAACATCAGAACACTGACCCTGGGGCCATAAAATTCACAATTTTGGAAGAGGCACTCTTGTTCATCATAAATTTGTGCTTAGTTAGTTAATTTATTACCCAGAAGCAGAGAAGAATATTTTCAAAGAATAAATGCATTTTCACTATATAAGCTATATAGCCCCTCCCTAGCACTAGGACCCCTGACCCTGGGGCCATAAAATTCACATTTTTGGAAGAGGCACTTTTGCTCATCATAACTATGTACTTAGTTAGTTTATTTAATATCCAGGAACAGAGAAGAAGATTTTTAAAGAAATAATGCATTTTCACTTTATAATCTATATAGCCCCGCCCTAGCACTAGAACCCCTGACCCTGGTGCCATGAATTTCACAATTTTGGTTACAGGTAGAGGACTCAATGCTCAATACATTCATGCCAACAGTTTGCCTTCTTGATATCCCGGAGTAAAGAAGATTTTTTAAGATTGCAATAATTTTAGTGGTTATGGCCCCACCCCCAGGACCCAGGGGGGCAGGGACCATGAAATTCACAATTTATGTTCCCCTTCACCCATGGATGCTGTATACTAAATTTGGTTGAAATTGGTTCAGTGGTTTAAGAGAAGAAGCTAGAAATATTCAAATGTTAACACACGACGGACGAAAACGGATAGCAATAGGTCAGGTGACCTAATAATACACAGATAAGAGGAGGCGTATTGATAGCATGAGCAATGCACTGCCTTTTTTTAACAAGAATTTCTACCGTGCTATTTATTGGTCATCTGCAGACTTATTTTGTTGAAAACATTTTTGATTCTACACATAAGTAATCTTAAGTTGATATTGAATTATTTATGTCTATATATCAGAACTGTAACATGAAAAGAGATCTCTTGTTGTGGATTTCAAGTCGAAATTAATTTTAGATATATCGAAGACGTTTTATCGATGAACAATAACTACTTTTCATTCATACGTTGGTCCGATATCCCTTTGAACTCGAAATGAAAGAAACACCTTGAGTCCAGTACAACTGCGTCATTTTTAGGTATATACTAGAGAACGACACAGATTATAGACTAAGAATTAAGTTTATGATATACGTGATGACTTATAATATTGTATCTTGTTAAGGTAGAAATAATATATTCTATATCAACTGTATATATGAGATTTATTTTTCATAGATATTTCGATACAAAAGAGATGTTCTTGCATAAATAAGTTTTTAAGCAAGACTGGCTACGGACAACAATTCGATGTTAAATGTGTATCTGCAATCTCGTTTTAAGTCAACTTTTGCAAATTGCTTGGTCGATTGTGTAACAAAGTTATTTGTAGCAAATTAATTCGAATGTTTTGTAACATCTTTCATACAAAATGGCCATTAATTTCATACTGAATTGACTACGGATTGCTCTCTTCACCCGATCACGACAAAAAGCACACGGAAGTGACCGATCGACAGGAGATGTGTTCCCCTCTATTGCACCTGATCCTATCTCTGATAGTTTGCGAGTTCCGCTTTTGCCCTGCGCAGAGCTCACAATATTGTATGATTACTGTTCGTTATCTTTAACTGCGATGCAGGAAAATCACTCCTTATGGATTGGACGAGAAATGGCCTTGCTCTCTTCACCTGACAGGACAAAGAGCACCCGAAAGTGACCGATTCGCAGGAGATGTGTTCTCCTCCATTGCACCCGATCCTATCTCTTATAGTTTGTGAGTTCCGTTTTATGTCCTGCGCAGTGCTCACAATATTGTATGATAACTGTTCGTTATTTTCAATCCTTTGCAGGATAATCACTCTTTATGGACTGGACGAAAAAATAGCTTTGTTTCGCGTCGAGAAGAAAAGCTTAATATAGTCAAAAAATTGAAAAAAAAAAAAAAATTATATCGTTTCAATTTTTGCCCTAAAACATTTTTGAAAATCTGAATTCAATTATATAAATGTTTGCATAGTTAAATACTTGCAATTCTTTAAAGTTATTGCTTTTCCATTATTAAAATGGTATTTCATCATGTGTTTTGATCTAAGGAAAAAAGTAAGGGTTATGCTCATTTGGATATGTCGATGATTGTATGTATCTTGTTTAACATCCCTTTCGAGAAAGCTCATTCGGAAGTTGAGTGCAAACTTGTAAGATAACCAACAACCAATTGTTCTAAAACGATGTAGAAAAAGAAATGAATGTTATGGGTTATTACCTGGAAGCTTTAGTGAAGGTATGGTTTTCACAAAGTTGGCTTTCAGTCGATCAAACTGCGAAGAATTATTTAATCCGATTCGAGTGGTGTGGTAACTTTATCCGATTTATTTGTGTTCTATTAGATAAACACTCCTAGAAGAAGTTTCAAGTGACCATCATCGGCTGTACATATCAATCAAGCAGTTTTTAAAGTCCGGGATATTTTACTAACAATGTAGATATACGCTTCATTTTAACAGTTTAATAAACTTGCATGTATAAAAAATTTCAATAAGGTGTTTTTTTAAACAACAATGAGGTGGTTTTTTTTTTCTAAAACTAAGTTTGGTATATGCATGCTTAAAATTTATACATATCCAGAATCTATTTAGATATAAAGAATAAATTTAAATTCCTGTGAATAATCTCGCAAACCCTTTGCAAAAAATCCATTGGAAACCTTACATTCCAGTCAAGTACTAGTAGTATTATATTCACATTAACCCAAATTCCTCTGCAAAGTTATGAAACAGTGGTCAGAGTCAAAGATTCTACAAATACTACAAATCTGCGACCAGGACATCACACGGATCCCCGGAAATTCCGGAGGTGAAATCAGGTGCGTAGGCTTTCAGATAAATTAATATATATATAGAAATCACCTCGGGTTCTTTTTAAAGAAAGATTTCAAAAGGGAATCATGGCTATAGAGTCAACCTCCTCCAAGGGAGTCGCCAGCGTGGCGAAATGGTTAGTAAGAGCGTCTGCTCTCGAGCCGCGAAGTATGGAGTTGATCCTTGTGTCGTGGGTTCGAATTTCACTGTGGGACGTGGAGACCAGTCCTTCGGATGAGACCGTATAAACCGAGGACCCGTGTCGCAGTAGGTGCTGGCACGAAAAAGATCCCTTACTGCTCAATGACCTGAGTGCCAAGTGCTGGACAAAATTTGCAGCTCTCTACCGGCAAGTGGTGGCGTTTCCATATCAGTGCAATATTTTTGAGAGGGAAGTTAAACTACATACAAATCAATCCTTCAAGGAAATAGTATCATTCCAGAACGAATTTTCCCGGGGGGGGGGAATTCTGCTCTACAGTAAGCCATCCACTCTTGGGTATTCTTATCTTCAAGGGAGGGGAAGTATGGCGGGGGAAGCATTTCTCTGGAGTGAGACAACACCATGGTGTGAGGGCTCACTCTGTAGAGAAAGTTTCAGGGGTGGTGTGAGGACTCACTCTAGATAGAGTTTCAGGGGTGGTGTGAGGACTCACTCTAGAGTTTCAGGGGGAGGTTTCCCTCTACAACACCTCAAGAGAACGTTCCAGAAATCTGATTTTAATTAAATATCCAACGATCTTATGGCCTATTTACAATTAAAGCATATTGACATTATTGCTACCAGACCACCAGGCAATACATGCCGGCTGCGATTGAAAAGGCTTATTACACTCCACTTAAAAAGTTGTCTTGGGTGTATACTAAATATTTTCTAAAATTCGCGTTTCAGTTTTAAAAGATTTATAATATTCTTTGTACAATATATTGCACTGTTTTTAAAAATAACAACTTAAATTTATTGTTGGATGAAGCTTAAAAAAATTATTCTGCGTTCTTTGTTTCGATGGAAATGGAAATTAAATGAAAACAAAATATATATGAAATAATTTCTCATCTCTTTTTTTCAGAAAATGTTTTATAGAGGTGATACCCCGGTATATAGTTTTTAGGATATCTTTAGTACATGTATTATATTTTTTTCACAAAGGGTGCGTTTTGATTAGAGGAGAGCAATACTGAACAGATTACTAACTGCCAGATAAGCACGTTTAATCAGTAAAATGGATGTTTTTGATGGCTTAAAATTACATCTAATCGAACTTAATGGTCAAAATACGTACATATCTAATCGCGAAGCGTCGTAAAATTGACATACAGCATTCATTTTTCGAAAACTTGTGATTGAATTTCGAATATCATGAATTTACAACCATTCGTACATGTATGATAATTTATCTCAGACTGATTCAATTTTTTTTTCGAAAGATATTTACATAAGCGTGTATATAGTTATTGATGTGTAAAATGTTTATTTACAAGGAAACATTAATTAAAAAATGTATAAAAATAATTTCAATGACCTTAAGTTTTATGTTCTGTCGAAATTTTTCTTTTCCAGGACAGTTAACGTTAGAATAATTAATTATCAAGGGTATATAAAATAAAATATTTGTGTGATAATTTGAATAAAATAATTTTCTCAGTTAAAATAAAATATATGATATAAAACTTTTACTTTAAAATTTTACGATGTTAAAGAAAAGCAATTTTTTTACTGTCGAAAATTGTAATATTTTTTTTATATTTTATCAGTCCACGAACAATAATTCGACTACATACTTGTTAAATGAAATTAAGCCTTCTGACGTCCACCTGTCAAATTAAGATTTTCAACTCCGAAATTCTGATAATTTGCTTTAATATAAATTCCCTTACCTTTTGCAAGCTAATACCGATTCCTGACACTAGATTAACAAATCTCTGTGTAACTATTGAATTTTCCCTCCTTTGCTGTCACTGATATCAAAAGAATCTGCCAATACACAAGCAGACTGCCATTTTATATATTGCTGCATTTCGTTATTGATTGCTGATAGGCGTCCAAGAATCGAGAAGAGAGAAAGATGGCAATATTTCTGGGAGCATTAACTAGCAGCTATGGCTGGGTGCTGTCGACACACTGGTAACTATACCTATCACACGGTTACCTTTAGAAGAAAAAAGATGAGGTTTAAGTTTACACCACACCATCATTTACATTTACTACACAATCATATAACATATAGTTTGTTATACCGAAATTTGTTTCATTAATTTTGAGACTATCCTGCTTGTAGTCACATTTGGTGATAATATATGTAGAGTATAACTCAGTCAAGTTTTATTTGATTTTTTTAAAGAAACAAGCTGACACAAGTTATACAAAATATTTTTTTGGGATTTTCTCTTTACCCCTTCCCATGAGGTTTGTCGCTTCTGACACTAGTTATAAGAAATATTTTTTTTAGAATGGTATTTTTGAAATCTACTTATATAGCATAATTCAAAATTGAAGTGAGGATTGAGGGGTCAGTGTGCGTATGCGTACAACTGAAAAATAGTGCAAAGTAACTGAAATTTTTTGACTGAATTTTTAATTTGAATTAAAACAATAACTTTTATTTCCGTCATAATTAATCTTATTTAGTGTGTATAGTATGAATAAAAAAGTTATTGATATATCATGTTTTAGTATTAAAGTATTATGAACACTCAATATATATTTTTATACATGAAGCTTTTTATGAATAAAGTGGTGATCAGCTTGAAATATCGAATTCTGCGAAGATGCGAGTTTCATGTTATTAAATGAAAAGTTTGAACCAGTGCCCAGTGATGTAAATCTTCGGACAAGGCACAAATTATGCATAATACAACAAATCTTTTAAAAGATTTAAATTAACTTGGCGAATACCTGAGATTTAGGTTTTTGTGTTAAAAATGTGTAAATCTTGTTTTAAAAATATTTGAAACTTTGAACCTACCTAACATACGAGGGTTGATCCAAAAGTTCGTGGAATTTCTTCATATTTTATTTATTTTTCATATTTTATTTAATTTTCAGTGGAATTGCTTGAAAGTTGCATATGAAAATATAGACACTTGATGAATATTTTAAATTAAAAAACATTTTAAATATCTTTGAAAGTAACTCTATGGCAGTTGCCATAGAGACGGTTGTTTGGAAAAGCAGGGGAGATATTAACGAGTTTATTATCAGTTTAATTCTTTTAATACGTGAAATGAGAATGAAACCGCCCTATGTGGTATATAAAATTAAAATTATGTCATAATTACGATTGCCTGATATTTTATAAACCTTTGTGAGAGAGTTTTACTGATTTTTACTGATTGACATAGGCTTGGGGAAAATGCATTTACCTATTTGTTGTCCGGTGGCATAAGAAATTTAAAAAAAACAGAACTTCCATGGACGTTGATTAAAGTTGTGGTCACTTTTTGGAGGCTCTGTTTTAAGTGCGTATCCCCCAGACAAATTAAAAGCGTTATTGAACATTGTCGGCTGATGTGCTTCTTGACATTGCTACTGAAATTGGAACATCATATGGAAAGATGGGTAGTATTTGGAAATATGAGAAAAATGAAGATAAGTTGGTGCGAGAGGATACCCAGGCTTTTGTTGAGAGAACAAAATGAAGAAAAGGGCAGCATTTTGTAGAATTACGTATTCAAATTGGACATAAGGGCAAAATGCTTTTTAACGTTTCGTGACATAAAAAAACTTGACGTTACCAAAGTCTCCCTGGGTTTCACAACTATCCATTTTCAGAAAGCTCGTGTTTGTTGGTAATTGGAAATTGAAATTTTCTAATATTGTTGCATTATGACTCTATATTATGAATATGCCTGTTGTTTGCTTTCGGCAAATCACGATAAAATTTTATAAAGAAATTCCACGAACGTTTGGATCAACCCTCGTGTAGTAGTACACTGTAATAACATTAGAATTCTGCGAATATAAATATTTAAAACCAAAATGATAATATTTTGAATAAACCCAATCTGTAGAGTTGGATCTTTTCTCTAAAATTTGATATCCAAAGTCCCTCTTAAGTCGTAATTTTTTCTTCATCGAGTCAATTTTTTTTGTGGTGTTTAATTAAATATTGTTCAATCTGTACTATTAAGTTGAAATATATCAAATTAACTTACAATTGATTATTTTTATATTGGAGGTTCTGAACTTCTCACAAAAGTTGAGGAGTGTCGTACTGTTTGTTTGTTATCCACAGCATTTGCTCCAATTTGAATATGTATTTTACTCTATAATACTCCAACATTATATAGGTAATGATTTAATTAAAGACAGTATTAAAGTGAACCTGTAAAACATTAAAGACGTATACGAATTATGCCATTTCAGTTTACATCAATGAAGGTGTTTTCTTTAATTTGTAATATTTCATTGCAAACATTCGCAGAATAAAAATGCTTTTATCTAAAATCATTTTAGTTAACACAAATGTATGAATTTCTGTCTTTGGCCTTTGACATCGGAATCAATAGGGGTAATCTTTAGGTCATTTGAAATTTTGATCTAAGTTTAATAGGAATATTATCGTGATACGGACAGGCAGAACAAATAGACAGACGTATCAAATAAATACTAGTTTCTCTTGCTTGTACCGAAAGCTGGGTATAAAATTACAAAGTATTCTACTATAATATTACATTATAACACTTGAGGAGCATACACTGAAATACTGTATATATCTCGGTAAGAGGTGAGTTATATTATAAGCTTCTCAACTAACTTCGAAACAATATATGTTCCCTATCATATAAGCGATTTTATTTTATGATTGAATAATTTCCCTCTCTCTGATTGGCTGAGATCCAACTATGTTAGAAAAATACTACGTTATATTGACCTGCACGTGACCTTTCAAGACAATATAAAAAAATATTGCAGGTCAATATAATGAATTATTCGCGTACCATTTTTTTTCCCTGTTAAAATGTTTTTTATTTGTTTTTGTTGTTGAAATTTTTCATTAAAACTTTCAATTAAAGCAAAGAAAAAAAAGTCTTGTAGGAGTTTGCAATGATTTAATCATATAATAAAACAGTTATTGCTATTTTTGCGGTCAATACGATGATTTAGCCACCTTCGAAGTATAATATTCACTTCGGGCTCAGTGAGTATTGTTCTTCTCAGGTGTCTAAATCATCATATTGACCTAAAACAACAATAATTGTGTAAAATTGATTTTGATTTAAATATGTAAATTCCTGATAACTTATACGCTAGAAATAGCGTATCTTTTAATCAAAGAGACCACAGATGTTAAACTGATTTGGAGGATTCGGGAGAAGAATATTTAAATATAAATTGAATTGAAACTCTTCAAAATGTTTATGCAGTACTGTTTTTAGAAATTGTTAATACTATGAAGGAGTTAAACGTAAAAGTTCCAGAAATGTTTACAGTAAGTCTGGATTCAATCATCGTGCTCTGTTGTCTAAAAGAAAAGCCGACCATATATCTGTCAAGAACTCATAGTGCGAAACTAAAACCATGCAGAAAACCACTGCTGTCTGTCTTAGCATGGCTCCCTCATATTTTATAAAGCCATGTTGCATATTTTTCGTGGTTCGAGGGTTCCCCTCTGTTGCCAAAGCAACAATAACTTCTTTTTTTGATTGGAACTAAGTCAAAAGTTTTACGTTAAACCATCGTCCACAAATAATATTAGTGGATGTTGTTGTTGTTTTCATATTCATTCAGTTGTTATATACTTGACGCTGCTACCGAGGTCTACTTTAAATACTGCAGTACACGAACTTTTGCTAAAATAATCATATGGTTAATTCTTAACCTTGATAAATGACCTTCCATGTAAGAATCAATACAATGAAGTCCTGGCCTAGAATAAGGATTTGGTATGAGACACATTGAAGTATAAATTTCTGGCGGAAAAGGACCATTTTTGTACTTTAAAAATCTTCTTTAATCTCAATGACATTTACATTTGTACAAAAGATTTATCAAAAGCATCTACAACTTACATAAATGGAAAATAAGATCCATCTTTCATCACAATAAATGTACAATAAATACATTGTAGATATGTTAATAACATTATTTTTTCAAAGCAATGCAACACAATGTAAAAGAAATATGGAGGTGCATAAATTAAGAAACATGAATTTTGATACTTTCCAAGATTATGCTTCAACAAATGTACTTTATATACAATCGTAATAAAAGATTCGCAACACAAACAAGTAAAGTATATCATCAACTTTCTTTGTAGCAGGTTTCTTCTGTTAATACTTCAAGGCACATGTCCCAATGATTGAAAGAAATAATATTCAGGAATGTTTTCTATAAACATCCGTATCCCCTAAATACACACATTGTCAGACACCAAATAAAAGATTATCTCGGAATCTGGGTGTATTGAGAACAAGAGCACTTGCTGCTCTGTAATAGTGGGTTGTCCCACAAATTTAAAAATGCATTTAATTAATTAAGATAAAACAAGTTCAAGGAGAATATAGAAATAGGCTGATTCCAAAGTCGTGTACTTAAGTACAGCTGCTTACAGTACATGCAGATAAAGTTAATTAATGTTCAATTTCTTGTCATCATAAATTTGTTATCACCATTTTCTTTTCTTTTGAATGCTTAAGACACCGTACGTTTACAATTATGTCTATTAAATGAAAATGCAAATGAGCAATTTATTGCCACTCACATTTACCGCATATCATAGCTCCTGTCGATATATGCAACAGCAAATATGAGGTGCAGCTGGCTATTTTGTCGGTCTAATCAATTTTTGTCGATAATTTAATTTACAAGAATGCGTCAAATGAAAGATATTTGACACAATTTTGATAAAACATTAATAACTGAGATTACGCTCCAATCGAATCGTAAATTTTTTAAAGTCACATTTCAAAGCAAGAACCAAAGATTGCTTCATTAACTTGATCAAGTTGAAACAACCCAACGTAAGCTTAAAATGTCAACCAGTCTATTTGCATATATAATCAATGGAATCTCGTACCAGTTTATTAAATTCAATCGGGTATGGAGTGTTATTTATTTTGGTCAATAATACATTAGGTACAAAGAGGTAT